CTGTCGCCCAGGCTGGAGTGCAGTGATGTGATCTTGGCTCACTGCAACCTCAACCTCCCGGATTCGAGTAATTCTCCTGCCTCAACCTCCCGAGTAGCTGGAACTACAGGCATGCACCACCATGCCTGGCTAATTTTTGTATTTTTAGTAGAGACAGGGTTTTACCATGTTGGCCAGGCTGGTTTCGAACTCCTGACATCAGGTGATCTGCCCACCTTGGCCTCCCAAAATGTTGGGACTATAGGCGTGAGCCAAAGCATCTGGCCTTACCTTCTGTTCATAAAAAAAGAGTAATTTGGAATCAGTATATTAATCTGAATGATCTGTCTAAAAATAACGTAGTTCTCGACAAACTATTTGCTTTGTCTGACCAGCATTCTTCTATTTCTTGGAGAAATGCCCTTGCCTGACCTCATGTGATTCTAGTGTTAATGTTAATAGCCAAGATGGCTATGACCAGGTTCTACCAGTTATGGAACCGTATCCTGGTCTCCCCATTAACTGTTCACCCAGGTAGGATCCAGCAGAGTTTCTCAGTCTTGACATGTGAACCCTGGGAGGGAGGTCTTCCTTTCTCTTGGTTTATATACTCTAAAGACCATGCAAGTCTGGAACTGGCAGGAGCCATTTTACCACCGCATGGAGAGAACTTATTTGAAGATAAAAAGTGAGAGATGGGGCAGCAGAACTGAGAAGAGAGAGAAGTGGAGTCTTTATGTAAAGTTATTAGCTTGCTCCACTTGGACTTCCCAGTTAGGCGAGCCAATACATTTGAGTTGGTCTTTGTAAAAGTGTGTCCAAAGGAATTCTAATACATTTCTACTGTAAAGTCCAGGTCTTCTTTTTTTTATTTTTATTTTTTTTAAGACACAGTCTTGCTCTGTTGCCCAGGCTGGAGTACAGTGGCATGATCTCAGCTCACTGCAACCTCCACTTCCCGGGTTCAAGTGATTCTTCTGCCTCAGCCTCCCAAGTAGCTGGGACTACAGGCACATGCCACCACGACTGGCTAATTTTTGTATTTTTAGTAGAGATGGGGTTTCACCATATTAGTCAGGCTGGTCTCGAGCTCCAGACCTCTTGATCCACCCTCCTCAGCCTGCCAAAGTGCTGGGATTACAGGCGTGAACCACAGCTGCCCGGTCTAAGTCCATGTCTTCTTAACTTTTATGGCATCCACTAAGACTGGTAGTGAACCTTGTGAATAAGAGTATGAATAGCCTATTACAGCACATCTGGTGAAAAAATTAATGGTTGGAGGCTGGGCGCGGTGGCTCGTGCCTGTAATTCCAGCACTTTGGGAGGCCAAGGTGGCCAGATCACTTGAGGTCAGGAGTTTGAAACCAGCCTGGCTAACATGATGAAACCCCATCTCCACTAAAAATACAAAAATTAGCCGGGCATGATGGTGTGTGCTGGTAGTCCCAGCTGTTCAGGAGGCTGAGGCAGGAGAATTGCTTGAACCCAAAAGGCGGAGGTTGCAGTGAACTGAGATTGTACCACTGCACACTTTGGGAGGCCAAGACAGGCAGATCACTTGAGGTCAGGAGTTCGAGACCAGCCTGATCAACATGGTGAAACCCTGTCTCTACTAAAAATACAAAAATTAGCTGGGCATGGTGCACACACCTGCAATCCCAGCTACTTGGGAGGCTGAGGCTGGAGGATTGCTTGAACCTGGGAGGTGGAGGTTGCAGTGAGTGGAGATTGTGCCACTGTACTCCACCCTGGGCGACAGAGTGAGACTCCATCTCAAAAAAAAAAAAAGAAAGAAAGAAAAGAAAAAGAAGAAAAAATGGGTGGATGAATGAACAAATGAAAGCTTACCATTTTATTTACCATAAGTCCGCTGTACAGTTTTTCTGTATAGAATTTGGTGTACCAAAGATTATCCTGGAAAGAAATAATATGAAATGTTAAGAATGGTTATCTCTGAATGGTAGGATTCTGGGAAAAGATTTTTTTTTCATATTGATTTTTTTTATGAACTTTCCAAATCTTCTGTAAAGCATGTGAATAGCTTTTATTATCAGAAAAAGTTAAAAAGTATTATGTCATTTTTTATTGTTCTGCCATACTTTGCTTTTTGTTGATTTAAGGGAATTTTGACTTTCAACTACGTTTTAACAAAGACTTTTGTTTTATTGTTTTTCAAGATTCAAACTGGAAACCACTTATCAGTTAATATGTTGAAAAGATTTTATGTATTGACAGCTGAACACTAATATGTCAAATGTAGTGCAAATTTGCCTCACACATGTTATATTGGAATTATAGATTTTTGAGTCTATTAAATTATCTACTCCATCTCTAGCTTCCTTGGATATTGAAAAGAGCTTTTCCTTTCACTCTTATTGTATCATTTATTATATCCAGAAAGCTATATGTGATCTCTCATATTATCATGATTTTAAGCCTTGCCAATGTATTTAGAGGAATAAAAAATTATCAGTTTTCAGCTTATCAAAAATACAACAAATTGGAGGGGAAGGCAGGGAAGGAATATTTTCATTTCACTTTACTCAGATTATGCATATGGCTCTGTCTTGGACACATCACTGATGCTATTGGATCTATTCTCATCTATTAAAAGAAAATTCATGCTTATTGATAGAAATCTGTAGGAAATTATGTTGTTAAATGTCTAAGCCATAAATATGATCTGGAAAAGTTACTTGTCAATTAGTTTTCTACAAATAAGTAGAATTTGCTATTGTGAGTTAAATTAATTATAATGTAAACAACTATTACAGGGTTGTTTAGTAGGCAAAATAATGACATCTTTTAAAGACGTCCCTGTTCCAATCTCTGGAAACTGAATATGTTGCCTTATGTGGCAAAAGTTAT